TTTGGTGGTCGGTCATATTTATTGGCCATTTTCTCAATTTATATTGTTTTATTGGCCACGCCACACAGGTCGAGTGGCTAGGGTTACCTTATGTATATCTTCGATCATGTTCGAACATCTCTCATAATAATCATAACCCTGGAATCTTGGATTAACAGCTTATAATTCTTCAATTAATAAATGTGACACTGCCTTGCCTGGTTCATAAATCTCCAAACTGGCAGAGTCAAGAGCTGTATAAAATTTCTATTAATTTTTGAGAGCAAACCGAAATTTGCAATTTCAATTAGTGCAACGCCCTTAAAATCATGCCTGCATCGCTGGTGAACTATGTCACATAAATCATAGCCAACACGGATCTCAGTCTTCTGGCCTGGCGTCAACATGCTCAGCTCACTTCCTGTGCCAGAGAACCAGCAAAAAGCGAAATTTAAATAAATAAATTGAGTTACCACCTCAAAGTGCGCTTGTCAACAAGTTGAGCCCGGGTTTTTTGGTCTGTGGTGTAAAAGTAATTGCCAGTTGGGGGCCCAATTACGAAAATTTCACCATTACCTCAATTGTTGGTTCTATGCAAATGCAAATGCAATATTCCCCCAGCATTATTCCGTGGATATCTCATGTCTCTGCATGGATGATTGCCCCTACGATTTCTCTATTAGCCATAACCAGGGTAAATAGGCAATTGACTTGAAATTGGCAATTATTTTTTGTCTGTTTCGGAGACAGGCAAAAAGTTAAATGGTAAATAGAGAGAGACCCAGACAGACGTCCATATGTGAATGGCTGTCCCTCTGCATTTTCCCCATCCTCCGTTCAGCCTCTGACTTTGCCTTCAGCCCCGTGAAAAGCCCAAGCGCATTATGAATGAATAATGTATGAATGAAAATTGCATGCACGTGCCCTCGAGCTATAAAATGTTGCACTCTTCGCCTGTTTTTTGCTGCCGAAGTCTGCGCAGATGAAGAACTTTGTTGGAATTGAAATCGGAAAATTGTTAGCAAAAGATTTTCGTTTAAGAGTTGGGCTTCTTCCTGTAAATAAAAAAGATGATAAAGAGTAGATTTTTTTTTGTTCTCAAAAATCTGTAGAGAATCTGGTTATTATATATTATAATATTAATAAAAGATTTTAATTGTAATCATTAAGAGCTTTAGATCTATATACAATTATCATAACTTTTTTTGTTAATAAGAATATTTGTCTAAGCTTTCTTTTTAAGCTAGAGGATTGACCATTTCCTATGCCTGATTAGAAACTAAGGCCAGCCAACGCAACTGATCTGATTCGAGCCTCAAAAAGAGTTCGTCAAGTTCGTCACCTCAGTCTTTTGTTTCGCAGCGCCTCCGTTGATGTCTTCATTAGCGACGTCCGACGATAAGCGTGTTTAATGCTGGAAATTTGTTTTTAATAACCCCGGGCGAACGCTTTTAATTAATTGAGTGGAGTGAAGTGAAGAAAAGCCTTTTGTCACAGAAACTCATCGGCGGTAGCTAGACGTTTTAAATGCAAATCCGAGCTGCCTGTGAGTGCATCGGATCGTTAAGTTGCCCGAAGATATTCAATTTGGGCACTTTGCTGCTTCTTAAGCATTGTTAGATGCAGTTATTAAATTTGACAGTTTACAGTTGGCGATAGCTTTGATGCGATGCCGACGCGGCTACTAAATTACTTCGAGTTGGAGCATTATCAGCCGCGTGTTTGATTTTCTGGTGCAGCGACGGCAGCAGATGAAAGGCGGCATCGCCGGGAAAAGCGGCAAGGAAAGCGATTTCAATTAGCATTTTGATGGCTCTACAAATGAGCGGACAGAACAAAAATCGCCGCCATTGATAGGCCATTGATAGCACATCATAAAGCAGGCGATCATTTGTCGATCGATCCGCCGTTCATCTACTTCATTACACTAGGAAAAAGTATAGTAAATGTGATTTAAATTTAAGTATGCTTTAAACGGTAATTTCTTAATTTAATAACAACATCAGTTAAATTATTTTAAAAATATTTTCTGAGAGATATTGAGTTATAAATGCAAAAATTAATATTAAAACCACATTTATTTTTGTTTTATTCTAATGGCAAATATTTACCTAACGTGCAAATACCGCTTTCATGGGACAGTTGGTGGCTTGCGGCTGAGTCGCTCACATTATTAAATCATTTGGAATTTATGATACGTCACGCGATTTTCGAAAGACACCAGCCATCAAAGTGGCCTCCAACTGAGCCAGCTATGACAATCTTCGGGGTAATTAAGTTTTTGCCAAGTGACAAATTAATCGAACCGCGGCAATTGCCGCAATGACCGTCTGGGTCCGGCCCGCCTGGCATTAATCAATGAGATGTCAATTCAACAGCAACTCGGGGATGCATTTTCTATATTTTTTCTAGTTTTTTTTTGTTTCCTATGGGTTTTTTCTGTGACCGTTTTGGCCGAAAACAAATGACAGGCGGCGATCGAGGTTCGAACAAGCGCATTCAACGAACCGGCGACAAGACGTCAAGTTTTCGGTTTGGCAATAAAATTGTAAGCATTTATCTTGTAGTTCGTTGGCGTTGTTCGCTTGTGTCCGAGGTCTTTGTATTGTGCGTAGACCCAAAATAGGGTCTTACTTTTCTCTTTTTGCATTACAAAAGTATAGAGTTACCGAGCGATTTGTCAACGTTTAGCTAGTTATGCGCCAAAGGGGGAAACACTGGCACCGGATCCAAACATTTTGTTAGCTCGTTAAGATTTGTTGACACTCGTGTTAATGTTTTGTGTTATTTTCGTTTCTGTGTCGCTTTTTTTCTTAACCTGGCTCGGTGGTGATGCAAATCGACTGGGCAGACCACCTGGAAAGCCAGTTCATGGATAAAACTTCGTGGAAGAATACCGATCTATTTGGTATTCTATGGCAGGAAATAATAAATTTACTTTAAATAATGTCAACGCTGAATGGTCCACTTGAAGTAATGATCTTAGTTATTGATCTCGAATTTTAAAGACTTTTTTATTTTAAAGAAATTTCTTTAACTTTTTTAAATTAATTAATTTTTCTAATAAATCCCTTAATTGATCACCGGTCATTACAAGCTCTAATTTCACCTTAACCATGGAAACAACAGCCACTGCATTTCACCAGCCCAAAGACAATATCAAACGCAGGCCGCACCGTCTTATCGCCGTATTTATGGTCAGAGCGATCCGACTTATCCGACACAGTACACCACTTAAGGTCTTTTGGGACCTTTTATGTTTAATTTAATTATGGTAAAATCATTTGATGCCAGTCCGCTTCATTTCGTTTTATTTGATTCGATTCGATTTCATTAACAACGCCTGCTCCACGTAACTCTGCAAATCCACATAGTTATGGCTCCAAACGAATTGGGACTAAAAGCCGAGAAATCCTCCGAGTCGTGTTCCAATTTCACCTACAAATTCGATACACTTGGCACAGGTTGTAAAGGTCGGCGGATCCCAAAAATACCATGACGAATTGTCCAACCCAGTGTCATGTTAAATAAAATTGATAGAGAAATTAGGCAAAATACTCGAGTTGACTGGAGTGCGGAGCCGCCTTTTAATTGGGTCGCATTAGTTTTGGGCCTTAAGTGGTGCATTTGTCAGCGAGATGCCCCCGTGTGCGGTGGCCCCTGCAATTAGTCAATTAATGAAAAACCCATAAATATGCGGCTAACATTCATCGATAGCCAAAAAGGAAAAAGAGGTCTACCACAAAAAGCTCTCCCGCGGAAATGGCAACTGCAGCGGTCGGTCAGTCGGTCGATCTCTGGTCTCCGCTGGCCATAAATTAATAGTCCATTATTTCTAAATTTTTGTCCACTTCAAACTGTCGTCGCCAAGTCGCCCAGAGCCAACTGACTGCCCTCGTTTGCATTTTAATCTCTCGATGGGGCGATGGGGGCCACAAATTAGTCCAGACCTGACTTTGTGTTGACTTGCCAGTGCGGCCAATAATTTAGAGCAACCGAAGCGATCGGCTCACGTAATGCTGGAAAACGAAAGCAAAAATACGCTCTTTTTTTGTAAGCCCAAGCCATATTTTTTTCGGGGAGAAAAGTTATGTAAATCATTTTGTGGCTGCACATTTTTCAAAATTGCTTAATTTCCTTCGCATGCGAGTACGCATGTGCTAGAAAATCGAGGGATGGATTGGCTAATAGCAGCAGTTCAATAAGATAGTAGATATAGTGTAGAAAATATGTTGAATTTGTAACCAGTAAATATCCTCTATATTGAAATTCCTATTATTTATATGGAATTGTTTAAAACAGGAATTCAAAAGGATAGTAGAGATATTGTGGAGAATATAATATTTTTATAATATTTCTATTTTTTATAAAAAAATTTTTATAACAGCTTTAATGCAACCTTGGGTTATCTTTGAGTATTGAGTTTTATATTGGCACTTTGAATATGCCAACCCTGAAATCAGAAACCCAAAACCAAAGACAAGTCATAAGCCAAACTTTACCACTTCTTTTATTTATTTTTTGCCAGTTTTCCAATAGTTAGGAAGTTCGGCGATCGGGGGAGCTGAGAAGCTGGGCAGTCGGCAAAGAGCTTTGGGCACTTTGCGAACTCATTTTCCGACTCAATCAAATCAAATAATTTATGCCTCGCGAAATTAACTGGCCAAGTGAGTGGAGGTCATGCCACATGTGAGGAGGGAGGCCAAGAAGCGCAGGAGAAGGCGATGGCGACTCGGGGCCCAGAGCACAGTTAAATCTTTTGGCTGGCCATAAAGTGTGTTGATTTTTCCATTTGCCAGACCCTAAAGCGCAGCAATGCGAAATAAATAAATGTTTGGTGTGTAGAGGAGACCTCTTGGAAAATTGCCTGCAATCGGGGAGTGTTTGAGAATGAAAATGTTGCGTTGGATTTTCAGTGCCAGTGCGTCTTATTTATTTACAAATACAAAATATTACAAAATTTACGGAAAATATTAAAAATCTTTTGGTATATATACAATTTGCGATTTATGAAGAGTTATTCACTCAAAATCGAACTCGAAGCCATCCTCCTGGTACTCGTATTCACTGCTGTCGCAGGTGACCTGAACGTATTTGTTGCACTGCCAGTGATAGTATTCCTCGGGTGTAAAGTTGCCCCACATCATGTCGCTGAAGACCTGCAGAGGTCTGGGGTTCCTCTCCTGATTGCGAATATTCACCAGCTTGTTGAGCTTCTCCCAGTTGCTGTGATAGCCGTTCAGAGCCAAGTGCTCCAGGTTGACACACTCGGCCACCAGTTCCATTAGCTGATTTTCCCGCACAATCTCCCAGCCACTGAAGCTGATCACCTCCATTTGGTGGCACGGCATGTGTCGCTTATCCAGGAAGAAATCGTTGTGGCCCCAGTTTTCGCAAATCACCCGCCTCAGCTTGGGCAGCTCCAGAAGGAGACTATGTTGCCAGCGAGCTGGCAGTTGCACCACCTCCTGGTTCAGGGCTATCCTGGTGATCCTATCGCTCTTGGCCACCACAATTTGCTGGAAAATGGTCTCCTCATCGGCATTCAGCTGCCGGGAGTCGTCGAACCGCACGGATAGTTTCTGCAACTTGGGCAGCTGAAGAACCTGCGATAGCATTCCTTCCACGGTACTCAGGTTGATTTTTAGCACCTCCAGATTGGGCAACTTAATGTCTGTCAGCCTCACGCAACTGTCGAACTGATCGGTGATGTCCAAGACCCTCAGCTGGGTCATGTTCAGGCAGATCTCCTGCATCCAGCGGCTGTCCAGTGGCACCGAGTGGTACAATGAGTTGAAGATCAGCTCCTCCAGCTTCCTGAATCCACGCATATACAAGCCAGATAGATTCATGCAGGTCATCAGACGCTTAAGATTGGGCAGCATTACGGTAAGATCCCTGATATCCTCATCGACCACTGTATTGGGATTTCCGGCCAGGATGCAAGTGTCCACTTTGGGAAACCTGGTGATGTTGATGTCGCACAAATGTGTGATGTAGTCGTAGAATTCGGAGAAGGAGCCAACGCCATCGTGAACATGCAGATCGGTGAAGCTGTCGGCCATGTGCTCCATGAAGAACACGTAGTCCTCGATGTCCAGGAGTCCCAGGAAGGGAGTGTTAGGTCCCACGATCAGGTGCAGTCTCCTCTGCCAGAACTTGAGGATCTGGGGCATGAACTGCGGATAGGCCCGAGCCATGCGAACCTGATCGCTCAAGTTATCGATCTCCTCGAAGATCTGCTCGAAGAATATGATGTGCAGGTTGTCGATATAGTTGGGTTCCAGATCTTCCATCGATTGGGAATCGTTATGTTGTCCCTCCAAAGCGTCCTTGTAAAACACGGTATTGTGCATTTGAGACATCCTTGGAGATTGTTTAATAATATTTCGTTGGTTAAGATTGCGATGCTTCCTTGAAGGCTGCTGTCGTTTGAATGTGCTGTCGGTGTGATGAGCCTAGGTTTTTATGCAAATATAGGTAGCTGATTAGGGAGTGAGACAGGTAGTGGGAGGGGATTACCTTAGTTATCCTTATCTACAGGCCACCGATAGCTAATCCTTTGTGCAACAGCTGCGTCAGCTTTCGTTACTATTTACCTGTGTGCACTACCTGATCTGGAGGATCGTGCCGTGATTTTCCAGTCCTCATAAATCGCCCCTCGTATACCTCTAGTGCAATTTGTAAGCGTGTGTTGCAGAAAAAACCCTATCTGTACAGTTATCGCAGAGCGACTCGCTAGTTTGCATATTACACGAACCCAGACGTGTTCCCAAAACTACCTCCTCGGCTCCCGCGACTCCAGTCGAGAATCTTGGCCGGATGCGTTGGACAAAACGTGGTGAGCATTTGGCTCGCCCTGGCTTCTAGGAAATGCTAACAACTCTCGGGGAGGCACAGCGATCGCAGTAGGAAAAGAACAGTCCCACAGAATGGATTCTGTGAGCTTCAACGATCTAATAATCAAAGCAGTGTGTTTTTGTCTGGCAGCTTAGCGAGCGATTAGAGGAATCACAATTGGAAGCAGAACGATGAGGAATACACTGTAAAGTAAAATGAATAATTTTTAATATAATAAATAATTCGTAAATTCAAATTCTTTTAAGAAATTTACTAAATTCAAATATATTTTCTAGTTATAATTATTTTAAATTAATTTCTTTACGACTTTTAAAACATATTACAGGTTAAATTTACCCTTTTCAGCGTTAAAGTATTTAAATTAAATAGACACGTTATGTTTAAAGATTTTACATCTTAAATAAATTACTTTCTAGGTCGATAAAGTGGTTTTCATGGATATTCTAAGGTACTTTAAGTAGATTTTGAGTAAAAAAAAAATATTTTTCAAGGGATATACAAGGTTCATAGTCATATTTTAGATAACATAATATCTTATATATATTTTTTCTGAGTGTGCCAGAAGGTTCACACCATTTCTTGGCCAAACTTGTACAGTTCCCTCCGCTTCTCATTGATAATTTTTGGACACCCCGTTGTTGTCAATTGTCGTTGCGATGCCTTTTGTCAGGGACTAATGGCATTGTTGTCAGCCTTGTGTGCGTCTATATGGCCTGTCAAAGCATAAAACTGGGCAACAAACAATGCTGACAATCTTGACCGGGGAGTTGCCTCAACTTAATGTCTATATAATGCACATTTGTGTTTTGGCCTGGTTGGTGAAAATATTTTCATTTGTTCATATTTTTCAACAAGTTGTTTGGTACACCCCGAACGACTCATATTCATAAATTCTCAGCGTCTTTTATTCATATTTTTTGGGAAAATCTTGCTTCACACGAGATTTGAGATTTGAGGAAAAAAAAACGAGTTGGGGATCGGGGGATCTCGCTGATGCAAATGCACTTGTCTCCGGAGTTCGGTTTTTCGGCTATAATATTTTTTCTTGGTTTGTTATTTGACTGTCTTATCTGAGATCAGTGTCGATCAAGGCAGCAGACGAATTGTGAAACATGACATACGCAGTATGCATGATGGCGAGGGACTCGAGACTGTTTTAATAATTTTGACGTAATCACATCACAACAATCTACCGTGGAGTCTCTTGGCTTTTTGACTTTTTGTCTGGCTCCGGCTCCCAAGTGGACAGTTCTTCTTAGCCTCGATCTCTGCCTGATTTGTTCATTTAAATGAATTACAATATTTTATCTTTACACAGAGATCGTTGGAGCTTAAAATGCTGTCTCTCTCTCGTTATCTTCAGGTAAATGTAAGAACTTTCCAAGCAGCTGCCTGAAATTCCTAAAGCCATAAAATCGGAGCCAAAACAAAAGGATCTGGCACAAAACAGCAGCTGGCATTGGTAAATCAGGTAAGCCCCTTTTGGCCAAATTACTTCACACCTCCAAACCGACAAGCCAACACGATCGGTAGCCGCCAGAAAGAAACAAAAAAAGGTAAGTGCACGTTTTTTAATTCATTTGTTCTAAAACTTAATCAGCCAGCGCGAAAAGAGGAAGACTGCGTTTTTGGGCAGAGACAAGAAGTCGTGATTGCGCAACTCATAACTCACACAAGCCAACTTGAACTTGGCTTTGCTTGTTCCTTCCTTTTTTTTGCCATCTGCTTACATTGTTTAATTAAAAACGAGGCTGCTGTTGTTGCTGCTGCCGCTGCTGTTGCTCTTGCAACACGTACCAAGATGATGACAACACAACTGCGGCAGCAACACACTCTTCAGCCAAAAGGGGCAACACTTCAAGTGGCTCAAAAGGACGACACGTTTTGGCTTCTGTGTGCAGTTGCTGTTGTTAGCTGCGGTCTGCAGTTGCAGTTTGCCGTTTGCAGTTTGCATTGCTGAAGTGGAAAGCAGTAGCTGCAACAGCAGCAGCCACAAGAGGCGCACCACTTGCCACAATTACCGGGACGGGACTTTCAGCAAAACTCCGGAGTCTGTCTGCGCCGGCTGCTTAATTTTCAGACAGCCTGCGATTATATTGCTCTAGAAATATACGAAAATGATGGTTGAGATACTCTTTTCTGGAGGGTATAAAGAAATTAAAGTTTAGCTTACGAAACAATTCAAAGAGAATATTTCTTAAAAGAGGATAACAATATAAAAATTATTATGGGAAGTTATGGAACAAAAATGTAATACACTATTTAGTAAAAAGTCTCAATGTTTAAGGTACGCTATCAGCAGTAAAATAAAAATATTATATACATATTTTAAAAATCTAGTTAAAACAAAATTCCATCTAAATAAATCTTAAGTCTTAAATAATTTTGTAAATAGTTAATATAAGAATACCAAGTTTATTGTTTGTATAAATTGTAATACAAATAAATTGTTTTTGAAAATATGATCCAAGAGTATACTATAATTCGTAGATATAATCCTGATTTACTTTGTATCAGCGCTTGGTGTTTATAATTCGCGAATCATGTTGCATTGTTCGGGGCGTCTGGTGGCGGAGCTTTAGCTTCGGGTGATTCTGTTTCTGTTTCGGTGGCGATGATGAGGAGCTTCACTTTTATGGGGCCCCTGGAAGCTGGAACCTGGATGGCCTGGCATGATGTGGCACCTTTTGCCATGTGGACTTGAACTTGGCTCCTGTGAGCTCGGCTCGCCTTTAACAATGACAATTGTTAGTGCCTCAGTCCGCAGTCCGCAGTCGGCTGCTGATTATTTTGACTTGATAACGAGCTAAACAATAAAAACAAGCATCAGTCCAAACAAACTGAACAAAACTTTTCGCCAAGTCATGTTTATCAGGAGAACTCTGGACAGGATTCATCCTCATGGCTCAGAAAAACTGTGTGTGTGTGTTGTAATCAATTTGAATGCCTTGGGGTTTTTTATTTGGCTGGATTCGAGTTTTGAGTTTGTTTTGCTGCTTGTTTGTTGTGATTTCTTAAGTTGTTGCAATTATGTTCGGTCTGTCGCCGATGTTTTGCGGCATAAAAGTGAAAACTAATTGAGGGGAATGGTCAAAAGGCCAAACAATCGAGAAATTAACATGTTCTCAGGTGTGGACTTAATGTCATTTCCTTTTGCTACTTTAGTGCTTGGTAGCACTTTGTGTCATTCGACACGTTTCCTTCTTAGCAGTCGTAAATTGGCGATCCATAAACTGGCCGAACAATAAGCGGCTAACAATCGCTAACAAAATGTAGAGCGTCACAAACTCGGACCATAAGATCATGATATCTCCTTTGTTGGCACCCCGAGAGGCGATTTGCATAAGAATGCCTGCAACCTGCGATGGTTCACATTTTTCACATTTTTCACCTGCATTTAGGCACAAATGTTCCTCGGCCATAAAGAGCAGAGTTCCCCGTGGAAATGCAACCGAAATTATATCTCCAACACTTGATGTTGTCCCCCAAATGGACTGCAGATGAAGTGTATTGTGTTGTTGTCTTTAAAGAGCGGATATCTATTGTGTGCTTTTCGGAGCGAGATCCCAGCGATGAGATTAACTTTATTTTAGTGCTGTTTTACTGCAAATTGTTTTGCTTCTGAATGTCCAAACTATCGATCTGAGATCTCAATTCTATGGAGCTTTGATTGTTTTCGCTTCTGAACGTCTTAACTAGGGGATCCATTTTGGCTCGTTATAAAGATAGCTTCCTAAGTGATCTTTTCAAGTCTTGGCGATCATTTGGTCACTTGTTTTGGGGTTTGATCTTAAAATTTAGAAATCAAAAAGAAGCTACCACTTCAAGAAACTAGATCTTAAGATGTTATATTAATATTATGCATATAATACATTTTTCGAAATAAATATATTTTTTCATATCATACCCAATTCCTAGGATATTCCCCTACTTACAATTCTTGAAGATCGGATACGATTACTCACCCACAAATTTCCCAAGAGACCCCACAGACAGACTGTGGATATTTTATGATTTCGCCTTCGTTTATCATTGTACACTTGACTTGACCTCCCGATCCAATTCATAAATCAACAAATCATTAATTTTTCACTCCTCCGAAGAAAACTACACGCTTGAGTACCTTAACCATTTCTTCTTGTCTTGTCCGAGCTGGAAAACCACACCGAGAACACAGAGAATGGGGGAGAAATGAGAACCCTTTCGCAGTGGGAAATCTTGGCTCCCACAATTAATCAAAGTTAAATTCAGAGTTCGAGGCAATGAAATGGAACACGCACACCCAGATAATTTGTTTATTGATCCATTGTGTTGAGTTGTGGATATATGGACGAGTATAATTGAACATGCTAATTAAATGTGGGATTTCGGGGAGGGGAATCTTTCGTCATGAAAATCCATAAGCTGTACGACCCCCACTGGAAGTCCGTATCCTGTCGGTCCTTAAGATCGCATTCCTTCTTTATTTCGTTCCTTTTTTCTGCGGCATGCTACGTAAGATCGC